ATCAACGGCATACAAAAATGACCATACCATCGGGGCAATACTAAGAAACCCAAAACAAAAAAATACTCTGGAAAACCAAGGAGTATACAGTGTAGCATGCGGATCGTGCAGCCTGACGTATGTGGGACAGACCAACAGAAGGATTTCAGCCAGGCTCGAGGAACATCGTTTAGCCATAAGAAACAAACAAACAACATCTGCTTTGTTTCAGCACCAACATCAGACAGGCCATAAAATTGATTTCGGCACTTGCAAACAAATAGTTAATATTCCTGATTTTAGGACTAGGATTATACGAAAGGCCATCGAAATAGAAAAGTCCGGACACCTCAATACGAGAGACGACGCTCTGCATTTATCCAACACGTGGAGAACGATAATCAAACAGCAGAGCGATGCGCAGCAGCCAACGGGGACATCGCAACTACGATCGGGCGAAATTAACAACGCGACAATTCAGGGGGCGGAGCCACCTCCCCCCACGCACAAGCAGCACCGTTACCATCTCCGGCGCAGAGTATAAATACCGTACGCACCGCCGATAACCTCCCAGTGTTTCGAAGTGTTTTCGGAGCGCGAGCATTGAAGATGCCAAGTGAGATTTTGGCGAAACGTCTGCAGGATTCCAGTCGGAGTTCAACGAGCGAACGGATGATATCCCGGAATATAGTGTCATCCATCACATTTTTCCATCCGTGAATCAATACGTGAGAATATATATATATATATATATATATATATATATATATATATATATATATATATATATATATATATATATATATATATATATATATATATATATATATATATATATATATATATATATATATATATATATATATATATATATATATATATATATATATATATATATATATATATATATATATATATATATATATATATATATATATTGATACTTGTTAAGTTGGGACTTCCGCTACGTGAAGCGGGCGGCCTGACATCCACTATTTACGGGAAGTATATTATAAAACTTTCGATGTATATATGAAGAGGGGGGCTTAAATATATCGTTTCGCATAAGAGGGGTAAATATTTTTCTTTTCAAAATTATTGCACATCAGACACTCATTCTGACTTCTGCCATATACGACTCCGCGATGATGCCAAGTTTCTCATATATACAAGAAGTGACAAGATATGTTTTACTGTTATATTGTATATTAAGGAAATCACAATGAATAAAGAGATTCAGCTGTATATAGAATTCGCTCGATACTGCAAACGTTTTTCACCCAAAACTAAATCCGTTGCACGTTTGCACGTCACGAATGGCTCCGAGTGCGTTTAAATTTAATTTGCTGGCGGTCGCTTTGTGACGTGCCGCGGATTTAGTTTTGGAGGAGCTACATATTTTTTAAAAAGATGTCAACTTTTGCTAAGATTTTATAAGAATACACCAGAACAGTAATAATTCTGACTGAGTTTGCAATGAATTTTAGAAATCAAATAGTCACAAACCTTTTTTAATATTTTTTGAGTATTATTTTGGTTTATTTAAATTTATATTACCTAAAACTAAATAAAAAGGATGAGTATATTTAAAACACTTTTTTTATTGGTCGAGGTATTAGTTACGCACACGAATAAACGCTTGCCTTGAAAGCTCATTTTTATTTTATCGTTTACCTTGGTGTAACTATTTGGAATCTGTTACTTTTTCAAAAACCCCGTTTTAATATTTGGCAAATCTTCGTCAGCAATGACGAAAATTTGCCAAAATATTAAAACGAAAATAAATGGCATAATTTAAATTTAAAAATTTGAAAATTAAGGATTACAAAACGCATATTCCAAATAATTTATATTTTTTAACAAGTCTTCTTGGCTCCAGCGAAACATGTAATGTCAGGAAAGAAACGGAAATACTTAATATTTGTCAAGATGATCAGTTTAAATTAAAAAAGAATATACCCCTAAACTTATTGGTTTGGGACTCTTAACCTATTAGGAGACTAAGTCAAAAAAACTGGTTGAAACCAGCCACGCTTGTTGTCACACAGTATCTTACACACAAATTTCAATAAATGAAACTATACCTGGAAACTTTAAACTTTTGCCATATAATGTAAAATTCAATGAAAAATTTCACATGTACTGATAACCGAAGCAATATTACAAGAGTATACATCAGTTCTAAACACCTGTCAATATAAAAAATGGTATGCAGACATTCAATTTTCTGTGAAATAAGATTTTTTAATTTAAACATTTAGATAAGCGAGACAAAAATGATCCCTGACCAACACGAAGGTTTTTTTTTTAGATTAGTTTTTTACTTCTACTTAATTTTAGTTGTTATTATGGATATAATTTTAATTTTTATTCTAGCTTCTATGTACACTTATGTACTATTGGTTTAATATGCAATGTTGCAGTGTCAAAAATAACAAGAGTATCATCCCTATCAAAAAATTCGACTATGAGGGCAAATACGTATCACATTCGCTACGAAAGATGGTATACAAACAAAAACGATCTTAAGCGGCAGCCGCAACCGCAAGTCTTTTTTTACCTGACCGTTTTTGCAAATTTGACCCTTTCTCTCTGCTTCGCTGGCAGCCGTGATGTCCACGACAGGGCTTCATTATTTTACTAATTAAAAATAAACGATCCATCCGATTATAGTTTTTGAAAAAGTAGCTGATTCGTTGATCTTCAATGCATATGATTTATAAAAAGCATTTTTTTGATAAACCAAATAGTTTTCAATTTACAGCGAGGTAAACGATAACATAAAAATGAGTTTTCAGAACAAGCGTGTATTCGTTAAAGATATAAAAGCATTATGCGATGTGTTTTTAAAATGAAAAAAAAAAAAAGATTTCTAATAAAAATATTGAAAAGCGGTTTTGTCAGTTTAATGGCTGTATGTTGTAGATAACAACAACATAATATTTTTTTGTCATTTTTATTATAAAATTCACTCCCACCACCCCCTGCACCATACGATTTTTGTACGACCAGTTGGTTTTGTATTCTTAGGGACAGTGTAAAATTGCTACACATTTATGTTTTTAAAATAGGAAAATAATCACTCAGACCAGCCTGTAGAACTCCAGAGTTTTTGATTAAAGTTACATCAAAAACACAAATGTAATCGAGCCATTTTAATGAAGTTTTTGTAGTTCTTGTAATTTTTGTAAGGTATTTAATCATATACAGAGGGTTCAAATGAATTTTTTAGGGGTGGAACTATTATAAAATAATTTTTTAAAAATGTATCTGGATTGTTAGGCCTTTAAAATTTCTTAAACAGCAAATACCCCTTAGCCTATGAATTCATTATAAGAGGCAAAAATATATATAAAAACAATTTCAGTTTGAAATGTTTGTTTGCGTTTTGTTTACGTTGACGCAATCAAATGAATATTAATATTTTTGATCGCATTATTTAAAAGGAAGTTTGAATTAAGATTCTAAAATTTGTAAAATTTTTATCTTGACATCAATTTATAGAAGTTTATGCCTCTTTCAAAAAAAAAGTAATTTTTTTAAGATTAACTTTTTATTTCTACATACTTCCAGGTGTTATTATAGATATAATTTTAGTTTTTATTCTAGCTTCTATGTACACTTATGTATTATTAGTTTAATATGAAGTGTTGCCAATAAAATATAATACAAATAATTACTAATGTCAAATATAATAAAACGGCACCATTCCTATGTAACAAGTAATTAATCAAAAAATTCAACTATGAGAGAAATACGTGTATCATATTCCCTACGAAAGACAAAAACAAAACAAAAACGATCCTAAGCGCCCGCCGGAACCGCTAAGTCGTTTATTGTCTGACCGTTGCTTTTTGTAATCCTTGTAATTTATTTCCGTTTTAATATTTTGGCAAATCTTCGTCATTGCTGACGAAGCAAAGGATAAATAGTTGGACGTTTCCGTCTTAGTGTGATGCACTACTGCTTCAATAACTTGCTCCTTAGAAAACCGTTTCAAAAAATTTCTATGTTCTTCTAGGTATAAATTTCTTCTTGGAGAATTCACTAATTCAATCAACAAACTTGCCTTTAACTGTTTTAAACAAAAATCCCAATGTGCAATTTGCACATTCAATTAATTTTTGTTTGGATATTTGTTTTGACGTTACGAGCTTTCCGCCTTATTGACAAGTTACACATAATTGGAAGTTAAAAACTTTTCCTTTAGTGTTAGCAGCTTTTTTCGTTAAAGGCTTTAATTTCATTGTAGAATCAAGTTCTCAATTAGAACTTGTACTGATTTTAATATCCATTTGGATGAAAATTATAACTAATGCGTTATTATTTATCATTCTCACACAAAAATAAATATATTTTAGTCATATTATAAACTATTTCACTCCCTCAAAGAAAACTATTTTGACACTTAAAACTCAGACATAAAAAATAAATAAAATCATCCACGCTGCGAAAGCGGGTGTACAAGCGCACTTCGGAACCGCAAAGTCGTTTATTGCCTGACCGTCCTCGCAAATCTGACCCTTCCTCACTGCTTCGCTGGCGGCCGTGATATTCACGTCATGGTTTCACATTTTGCTAATGAAAAAAAAACTGTCCATCAGATTGGGGTTTTCAAAAAAATAACGGATTCGTTGACCTTCAATGCATATCTATTAGAGGAAACACTTTTTTGATAAGCCAAATAGTTTTCAAGTTACAGCGAGGTAAACGATAACATAAAAATGAGATTTCAGAGCAAGCTTTTATTCAGTAGAGACTCCCATATAAAAGCATTATGCGGTGTATTTAAAATGAAAAAATAAAGTATTTCTAATAAAAATATTGAAAAGCGGTTTTGTCAATTTAAGAGCAGTATGGTGTATACAACAAAATAATAATAATTTTTTGACAATTTTTAGAAAATTCACCCCCACCACCCCCTGCACCGCACGATTTTTATACGACCAATTGATGATGCATTCTTAGTGTACAAGAAAAGATAAAAAGTGATTATTACGTTTTAGCAAGAAAGTGCAAACGAAAATCCAGTTTAATAGAATTTTGCGAACTTATTAAATCTACTGAGGAAAAAGGCATTTCTACTACTACAAAAATATAAACGAAGTCGGGACATTTTTACATCTTGACTTTTCACAACCCAACTTGCATGTCAAGGGTTCCATTCTTGAGAAACATTTAATTGTTAAATCCGCAAGGCGACATCTTCACTACCGAGATATAGAGCATTTTTAAATTTTCGGCCCTTTAGAAAATTGCCCATAACATTTTTATTTATGAAAATTTTGGATCCAGATAAAAACATTATTATGGCATTTTAAGGCAAATGCACTAGCGTACTCAGATTTTTTTTACAGTTCTTCGTTTTCTCATTAATGAATTCAACTTCCTTATTTTATATGGCAATCATAGTCCTGAAATATAGGGCATTCTTTTTATGTATTAGTGTATTGTGTCGCTGTCAGTTAAGGGCATAAATTTTATGCTTTATTGAATTTTGTATCACATAATTTTAATGGAGAAACTGAACGCAGAGGCAGTTAATGAACTTTATTTCGATAAATATCCGGGACAGCAACAACTAGACAAGGAGGCAACGCAAAATCAAAGCGACTTAAATGAGGAAGAGAAAATCCGGAAATTGAATATGATTGCACAAGTTGCAAAATCCAAGCATTAATTCTTGAATAGAGTATTAAATGAAGTGTTTGGATAGTGTTGGATTGGAAGTAGTGGATAGTGGTGTGTGATGCTAACTCCTCTAGTTTTTTTTATGGGGGATATTTACAGATCTTATATTAAAGAATATTCTAAACCAAATCACAATTAGAGGAAGTCGCTCGCGAAGCGTTTACTCCCATCAATCTTATAGAGTTAGTGAATAGTTGCCATTCAGTAAGAAAACTGACGTTCGGTGTATAAGAAGTATTCAGGATATTTTGTATTCGAATACTTATTGCTTTCTGTTTATTAAAATAACTATAATTTATGAATAATAAATAAAATTCCAATAAAAGTATTAAATGGTTCTTAGTTTTCGTGTTTTTCACTTAAATTATTTTAAATTGTCCTTATCTTATCTTTATGTTAAGTTCCAGAGTTTATTAAGTAAAGTAAACAAACCAGACTCTTTTAAAAAACTCCACTAAACATTTTGCCCACTCTGTCCAAAATCCTGAAAAAATTCATAAAGCAACAAATTCAGTCACATGTAAGAAAAAATTCTTGTGAGCTTTCAGTCGTCCTGACAAGTAAAATGCTGTGACGCAGTGTTTAAATCAAACTAACCTTTACAGAGCTCAGCAATTGCAGAACTATTGAATAAGACTAAGATAAGGTATCCCAACATCTTACACGATATTTATAGTCTGCGACCTTATTTTTCATAATTATAAAAAACCATATTCCAAAGTATTTGCAGCAAAGACTGCAAATACTTTGGAAAAAATTATGTCAATCAGGCATCGTCTTTTTGACTCTATGAATTTATACTGAGACGTAAATATATAATCAATAAATCAATAAATTTTATTTGTAACCCGTATATACCGGTCTATTATTTGTTTCTAGCTGACAGCAAAACGATTAGATGTTTACGCCGCTTCCTTAATTCTTTAGCTCTTATCTTTCTTGAGAAATTTAACCAAACCTTCCAACAAGTGTGTCAAAATGACAAATAACTAGAATAGGAAATTAATCAAATAGGTCTAAATGTTTAAAAATCAGCTTATAGAGAGATTTCAATGTTTAATAAAGGTGTATTGGTATAGGTCATTAACAAATATGAAGTTCTAATAATTTTACAAGATTTCGAAAATTCGAGTTTCTCAAAATTAAAAATTATTGACCCTATTATAAATAAAATTAAAAACTTATTTAACGCACTTTCTATTTTGCAAACTAAAGTAGGAAAAGAACGTATATATAGCTGCAACTTTAGAAAACACTTCTATTTTTGAAAAAGTAATTAAGGTTGATTGTTTTATTTTGAATAATAAAATGAATTACCCTGCCAAACACCTGTTCAATTTTTACGCAACAATCTTCTTTGGATTGAAATATAGCTGTTTAAATTTAAATGCCATTACTGATTGGTTCACATTCTTCCGAATAGCTTTTCCAGCAGCAAAATTAAATTGCACTTCTTCCCGCCGTTCTAGAAACGTTTTATATTTCATTGAATTTATTGTAGGCCATGCCGATGAAATTTCGAATTTCACATGGCAAAACGTACGTTTTTTAGGCTACAATCCTTGGAGGACAAGAAACGGGCGTCAACGAGTACCCTTCGATGGCGGGGCTGGTAAATCTGAACCCTTTCATCATAATTTGCGGGGCTAGCATAATCTCTGAATTTTTCGTGTTGACCGCCGGTCATTGCGTCTACAATAGAGATCGCAGCACGTTTTCGGTTTTAGTGGGCGGGCACAACATCACTTCAGGTAATGCAATATCGTCAGTTTCACGTAAAATCTCGCGCGTATTGCGATCAAAATACAAAGTATCGATTTGTCTATAGGGATCGATATTTCGATATCCGCTTAGTGGGTTTCATTCGACAAACATTAAGTAAACGTCGTTGCTACTCCCTCTCCTCTACTCCCGAATTCTACTTTTCTCTTTCTACTCTTTCTACTCCCGAATCCAAATTATACCGGGTGTGCGGGAAAGTCTCTGAGATTCAGATAAGGCACGAAAAAAATTTTTTTTCTATAGGCGCAACCTACGGAGCTATGACTCTCAAATGGACACCACCGAATTTTTTTATTAAAAAAAATAAAACCACAAATTCAATTTTTCCAAATTGTGTTTTCCTCGTGGTTTATAGTTCTTCCCGCCATATTTATTTTTTTATAATGATGGCCTTATGCATTTTTGATTTACCCTGTATCATAAGTCTAGCTAACTGCATTAAATTTAATGTTAATAACGAGGATCGTAGATACTTACACTAAAGTGGATTTCATCTGTTTCGGGATAGTAACTAGTCAAATCTGTTTTAAGTGGTCAATTTTATTATCCATATCCAGAATTTTAAATCAATAAAATGTTAAAATTTTTTGAATAAAACTAAATTCAAGTTTACAATTACAATTGCAATATTTAACGTTGTATTTAAAATATGAAAAGCTCAATTTCTTAAGAACTATTAATTGCTTCGTTTATTTAAAGCTATACCAAGTGCCCAAAAAGTATGAAAACGGTGGAATACCTGAAGAATTATAAAACTGTTTCATAACACCTAACAAGACACTCATTCCATGAACACGGTGGTAGAGGGAGAGCAACTTTGACATCTCATTTTTCTTTTGTTTCTCGGTTAATGGCACTGTATTAGCAAAAAAGACGATTTATCGTATTTGTCAAAAATCCGACTTTATTGTTAGCTTCAACATGTTTTTCCACTCCCTAATCCAAAATGTCTAATTATGCACTTATTCATTTATAAATTAAATGAAATGTCAAAGGGGGTATATACCATTTTTGATATATTAACATTTTGTGTAAGAATTGTAGTACCTGTCGTTCTGCATGTCTTGAGAAAAGAAATATGTGCCTATTGTAATAATTTAGTAACCTACTTTTTGTCTTATTGTTACGAACACCGGCAATTATAACCATTGTAAATTTAAACAGTTTTTAAATCTACCGAAAACAATTTGATCGTTCGCGATCTAGAGAAATGCAAACGCTCGAATTGACCCGCGACAGTGTTTAATGAAGCTGACATTTTAAAGTGACACTTTGGTAACGAATGATGAATGCATAATTGGGATTTTAGAGAATTTCTTGACAAACATGATAGATAAACGGCCTGGAGGTTACAGCACGAGTTACCGAGAATTCAGAATCAAATTTCGGGCAAAACCTGATATTTTAATGGCACAGAATCCGAATCTGTACTGATTTTATGATTTTAAATTGAATGACAACGTAGTTAGGAGCGGCTTAAATGGCAGCATTAAGTTGTTATTAAACTTTTTCTTTCCTTCTCAAATATCTTGCGACCGTATTTATGTTTAATCTGTATATTTAAATCTTGAATTATCTTATTGTTTTTGTTGTTGCCTTTATTTTTATTATTATGCGAAACAAATATTAAAAAGTGCGAGATAAAATTAGGATATTGAACGACCGTCCTATATTTATAAGAATAATTTGCCTTTTAGGAACCACCCCTTATTCGAAGATTTATAATGTTAACACCTACGAAATCTTCCCCAACTTCAGTCTAATTAATACGGTGATAGATGACATCGCGATCATTAAAACTCAAAACCAAATAGTGTTTAGTTTATATATCGGTCCCATATGCTTACCATTTCGGTAGAAAACCTCCGATTTCGTTGGTCAACTTGTTACGGCATTGGGTAAGTTTCTACAATCAAAAACGCTGTAGTTTAGATCTAAAAAATTTGGAAGTGACTTTAACAGTATTGTTTTTGGAATTATTAAAAATGTTGTTTCTCTCCAAGTCATTTTCCGAAAAATATTTTAGTATCATTTCTTCTTAAAATACATATTTTTGAATTGCCAAATAGAAGATATGGACTATAACTTGCATAGTAAACAATGCCTAGATGAACATGATCAATTTAAAATATTTTATAAATGGATTGATAACCAGAATACGTGAAAAATCTAATATTGGTATGGTCACTTTTCACGTAGAACTTGACATGTTCGACCAACGTTTTTGGGGATATTAAGAGGCGGTTGAGGTTAATAATCCCATAGAATTTAGTTTTATTTTCTTTGTTTTCTATTTTCAGTTTTTCTTTGCTCACGTTATATACGGATATTTTGTAGTACCTCTATGAATAAGTAACTTTGTATCTCGTTTTACGTTTGTTACTGTATTAGGATGGGGTAGCCTGAACGTTTCCGATAGCAAATCGGACGTGCTAAGGAAGACAAGTCTCACTGTAATTTCAAACCAGCAGTGCGCCCGGGACCAGACTGAGAATATCAACAACAATCATATATGTACATTTACTCTGAGACATCGCGAGTGCGCTGGTGATTCTGGAGGCCCGTTGCTGTGGATGGATCCGAGCACTCAAAGGTTGCATCTTATCGGGATCATATCCCACGGGCTCGACTGCAATATCGACAGTCCCTCAATTAACACCAGGGTTACTTCGTATTTGGATTGGATCGTTGCCAGAACTGGTATGTAAATTGCTGATGTGTATGATACGGAAACCTTACTTAATTCATTCGTAAAATTGAGGCTTAGCTAAAGTCTGACATTATTATTAAAATGGAAACCTTTATAATATTATAAAACCATTTTGGTTAGTTATTAGACCTCTTACAAAAGTAAAAAAAAATATTATAAAAGTTAAGGTTTCTTATAAATTTATAATAAAACCTTAAGCTGCGAGAAGTGTTAATTAATTAATGTAATTAATATATTTGTGTCTGAATATTAAGAAAACCTTCATTGTCCAATGCACCTGAATAAATTGTAAAAATTTCTAGGACAAGCCAATTTGTAATTTTTATGTACATTTGCAAGTTACTTTTAAGCTTTATTTTGAAAATTTTGTTTTGTTTGTGATGTTTATTCGTGCTAATAATTATTTTTCAAAGAAACTTCCGCAGGATGCTCGTGGCTTCTTTAGAGCATTGTCTGAAACTGATTTGATGATTGTTCTGCACGCACCTTAAATACCGGCCTGGTCGAATGGTAGGGAGAGTTTTAATTGCTTCGCGGATGACACCTGTACCGCGGTTTATATTATTGGGCTGTTTGATTATTGCGATAAATTCACAATTTTTTCTTGAATAAAAGAGAGGGTTAGAGGCAAGTATTTGGTATTGTCGCATAAAGCGAGGCTTCCTGTTTCGTGACGATGTTCAGAAACCGCTGATGTAATTATTTCTCGAATTCTGAGTGATCTCTGGTATTTTTTAGTCTGCTTGATATTTTTAGATCTGTTTCTTCGATTAAGTCTTTGCCGCAGTTTCACGGTATGCTGTCTCATGCAAAATTTAACCTTTAACCGATCGCAGAGATCGGGAGATTATAGGACAAGAAATCGCTGACATTTTTAAAATATTTCAATGGCAAACGGGAGTTGCATTCTGTAAGTGGTTTTGTTGAAGTGTATTTTTTAATAGGCCGTCTGATATCTTGATAATGGAAATTGTTGGTGAGAAGAACTGAATTGAACATGGATGATTTTTACGTTTTTTACGTATCGATCCGTATGAGTCGGTTTTCTATAGACGAAATGGCCCAAGGTTAAAGCTGGTTTTCGATTAATAAAAACGTCTATAAAGTGAAGGGTGTTGTTATTTTCGAATTCGATTTTGAAATTGATGTTTGTATGTATGGAGGTTAGATAGTTCGTCCACATTTTATTTTTATGTGTAACTTATCAGTGCCTAGTTTTTCAAAATGTAACACAAAATATTTGTGATGCATGGGAAATCGCGGATCCGATGTTCCTAATATTTGTTCGTAAATTTGTTTGTTACATCCCAAATCTATTTTTTTTATTAATATGAGAAATTCTGCAGGGAGGTTTTCGGGAGAGATTTAACTTGGAAACTAACTATAATGTCGTCTGCATTTAACTTAATACTTTTTAGTTGTTGAATAGAATGATAAAAATGAGGTACAAAGCTAAGACTTTTTCCAAGGCAGAGTCAACACGATACAAGACAGAAGATGTGCATCTACAAGTAAATATTTTCTTTATATTTCACGATGCAGCTTTTCTCGAAGAACTTGAACAAATTACACCTTTTTACTTAAAAAAGTTTTCGAATTGGTTTTCTTTATTTTTGTTTGGAATGTGCAATATTTAATTTTTAAACATTTATATATTTTTGATTGTATATATTTAATTTGCAATATAATAGAAATAACATTTTATTGACCTTAATAAACTAGTAAAAAATTGTTAATAATAAAGCTCTTTAATATTAAATTAATGTGTAAATTCAACAAATATGTTTTTAAACCGTTTATGATTAAATATGTTATAGTTATATAGTAAATGCAAATTATATATACAACAATAAAAATAATTAAATATTTATTAACATTATTAAATGTAATATACTCTGAGTAACCCACAATAATTTTAATTTTTCTTTAAATTTTTAAAAATTCTTTTTGAGTTATTTTAAATTATAAAAAGAAAATTATTTTCCAATTGGGATATTACAATGGACCGATTACAATGCTATCTTACCAAATATCCTAATACCAAATATGATGAAAAGTCTAATATAACATAAATTAAATCGGAATGGAGAAAGGTGGAAGGAGAATGACAAGAGGTGGGCGAGGAAGTAAAAGAGGACCCAGAGGAAAAAATTACAATTGTATTAAATAACAGTAAATATCTTTTATTTATATTAAATTAATCAATAAGCAATAATTAATTCATTCCTTTTCAGAAAATTATTTCATATCTATGAAATAATTTTAACAAACTAATAAAGTAAAAAAAAAGCAATTTAATAAAACGGAAATTAAAAAGATATTCCAAATACCAAAAACAATTGACTTATTTTAATTATACTTTACAACTTTTAATTAAAATTGACGGTACATTATCAGAAACACTTAAAACAAATTTTCCAATAAATTTTTATTAATTCACAATCTTCATAATAAACAAATTATTTTATTAAATAACAAGACATTGGCTTTTATCTTAATTGATCTTGTCTGGTTTTGAAATCAACAAGCAATATAACTGTCAACTAATCTCATACAATAAATTGAATTTTAGCCTCAACAAAAAGAATATAATAAATAAACAAACATTAACAACAATGAATTTCTACTAATTTACGTGCACCAAAAAAAATCAAATTAAATATTCGCTAATGAATCTTTCCTCCCTATCACATTCATATCCCTTAAACTAAATAGCCTTATCCTGATATCCCGAATTTCCCTTACATTTGTCTTTCTTTTATCCTCGCCTTCCACATATAATTTTTCGAAAGAATTGTTAGAAAAGCGAAGTCTAACAACAAACACGCTCCACAAGTGATAATACTATAACCTAAACAATAAAAAACAAAAATAAATTAACACACAATAAAATCCATTAAAACACTATCTTACCAAAGAGCTAAACACAATCTATACTTAAAAGGGATGAATGTACCATAAATTAAGTACTGATTCTAAAATATAAATATTGTAAAATTTTTCCATAAAACGAAACTAAAACATGCAAATTACCTCCGCAAATGTTGCCAATAAGGTTTAAATTTCACCTTGACCTAATACAATACTGAAAACTAAAAGGTAACTTAAAGACTACTAAGTATCCGATTTCTAAAGTACGGTTGTGATTTTAACAAATATAACAGCACATTCCAATTCCGGAAGTTTCATTTAAAAGCTTTTAAAATAAAACCCAAAAGAATACGAACATGATTCATATAACCTTCAACCTAAATTGTCAATCCATAGATCTAATTAATGTTCTTCCTCCAATTCGGATCGGTCCAATTTCATAGATTATTAATAACATACATGAAAACATAACAAACGTTAGACATGTCTTTTTCATAATTGTTCGAAATAAAACTTTTCGAAATTATTTTCCATTTCTTTTAATTTGCTTTAAATAACACATTAAAATCATAATGTTTTCCGATTTATTGCACCTCCCCAAAAACAAAATCATTTTCTTAGAATTATTCTTGCAACCTCCCGAATACTTTTTCACCTAATTCAAAATAAATTGCTGCAAATATAATTGGTATAAAATCCTTAATCTTATTTCTAAAAGGTCATGTCTTCTAAAAAAATACCACCCAATTGCATATGGTCCATGAATAAATTTATTAAACAGAGAAGAGAAAATGGTTAATAAAACTTTCACTGGCGGCAGCTTATTTGATTTAAATTCTAAAAGTTGGTCATGATATCAAAGCACTCTTCGAAACCGAAATTGGCTACATTTATAAAAATCGTGTCAAAGAGGTAAGAATTTTTTTATTGTTTATGAAACATTTCCTTAGAAATTATTACAAATTTGTGAAATTGAATATACCTAATAACATCGAGCATTTACGACTACTTATGCCATCATAATTTACTTCGGTATTTTAAAATGTTTTTTATAAATAGCTAGTTTTCACGTTTAATAATCAATAATCGACAAATTCTGCCTGAACAAATCTAATATACAAATTTTTGTAATGTGTTATTCGTAAAATTTGTTATTAAAATATTGAGACAACAGAATTTTGAATCTTAACATATTAATATCGCTATCTACAGATTTAAACAATCCAAAAACATGACAATTCCGACCATTGAAATAGAAGATAATTTAAATGATAAGTATATATTATTTTATTATAAAAATACCGTATTTACCGTATTATTTTTTATTTATTTTCTTAAACACTTGGATAAATTACTCAAAAGAAAATTGCTAAAGTATTACAATTTCAATAAAAATATCTTATCAACAAAAAAATAATTCAACAAAATAGTTTTAAAAAACGTCAACTTAATTCATTTAAAAAATATTGAAAAATAATAACCTCATGATTAAACAATAAGTAAATATCATATTAATTGAAAATTAAATAACCTACTATAGCACTTTTCTAAATTTTCATTTAAATGTAAATTCAATTAATATAGACACACATATTTTTTCAAAAATTTCTAAATAATAAAAAATTCATAAAAATAATATTACAGATCTTCCACCTATTGATGTACAAGAAACAAATAAAGACAGGGAAATGAATGGTAAGTTTAATTAAGAAACCAATAATTAATTTTTTAGATTTAATTAGTAGTAAAATCAAAAAATTGCAAAAATTAAGAGTTTATTATTACTAAAATATATATACAATAACAATTACTTTAAATAACTACTAATAAAATTCTTCCCATTACTTTTCGAGATAAATAAGAGATATGGCAAGAAACTTTTTACTTCTGCATAACAATTTTTTATGCGAAATAAGCCCAGATATAATGACAATATTCTATTTACTATATATACTGTTTTTTATTTAACGTCTAGATAAAATTGAAGATTTAAAAAAAAATATCCAAATATCCAACAAGTAGAAATTGAACAATTAAAAAAAAAAGAAAACGAAAAAGTAGAGGGAGGAATTTGGTATAAGAGAGGGGAAAGAGGACAACGAAGTGGTGGCCGGAATGGAAGAGGTG